TGCATGGGGCAATAGCTGCACGCCGCAGGATGGCCACTTCTTCTGTCGACGCTCGACTTCTCCCGCTAGCAGACTTGGTCCCCGCCAGTTCAGTGCAGGTCGCGGTTTCTCGTGGGAGCGCAATTTGCATTGCCTGTGCTGCCTCGGTGGTGCATGGCCTCCGGGCTTTGGCGATTCCGATTCATTGGGCCAGTCACAGTTGTGGAATGGTACATGTGATTGCACGGTGTATTTCCAGTTGTTGTTTGCGCACCTTCAGGCTGTGCGATTGTCATCGGTGAGATGTTTTATGACCACGACGAGCCGGCATTGACGTCAGGTGTCCTTCGTTCCATCTGCGAAAGTTGTGCTTTCGGCGTGTGATCCTATTCGATGGCTACACCCTGCTTACGTTGACACCTTGAATGGCCCCCTGACAAGGGGGGGGGGGGGCGTGCTGGCACGTGGTGCAGGCATGCAGGTGGCAAAGCCGACCCACCCCGTGTCGTGTCGATGAGCATCTGAGGCACAAGTGGTACAAGTTGAGCCGTGGACGAGCATATTTCACAATTTTCACAGAGGGTGTCGCTGGACTATCGGAAGCCGAGCGAGCCTCTACAGGTTTGTGGCAAAGTGAAACTTCAGGCGCACATGCTTCATCGAGACTCTGTAGATTAGAGATTTGCCCGCACCGGTGGCCACAGGGCTGCAGATCGGCAGGTTGACGCGCAGCTGACACGGTAACATCATCACCTGACACCAGACAGGCTTGCGACCGAGTTGCTTCCTTTTTGCATCTGAGGTTTGATGGCAAGAAATGGAACAGACCCAAAGCCCCGTCAAAGGAGCTGAGCCTGGCTTGGATTTTGTGCTTGTACTCTGCCCAGGCCTTTTGCTCCCGACATCGCTTTCGAGAGACGGAATGTCAGAGCCAAGGCGAGAGTCAGGAGTCAGGACATGGACACATCAGGGCATGTCAGGGCCAGGATGGTTCCCGGTCTCTCCTCGGCGCCCTCTGCAGGTCGCTCTCCCAGACACCCTGGAGCTTTGCACCCGTCAAGAACGTGAAACGATCCAGGTCCTGGGCGCCTGTTGTCAGCGGGGAAGTACAAAGCCTACCCTTGCAAACAAACTATAGCCTCCCATGATTTCGGTGTGAGTAGTAGTGGTCCACTTGTGCATGTCATGCGAAGCAGGCCGACGTTTGGATTTAGTGCTTACGGTCCACCGGGTTCACCAGCAGCGAGAAGGAGGATTGGAAGACCGGTCATAGTCTGCCCCTCGCGGCTTCAACCAAATCGAGGTGAAGGCCTTTGCACCGCAGATTTTAGCCAAGAATCGTGTATTCATTGCTGAATGGTCGAAGTTTGAACGCTGGGCACCTGGTGGAAGACATGAACGAGTGTCTGATCGCCATGAAAGCAGATGCTGTGGTCTCTTGTAGCATGGGAGTGGGCATGAAAAAAGTGGAGCGCTCGGGAGCCAATCCACCGCCCCACACATGAATACCTCAGGGGGCTGTCGCCGCCTGCAGCCTGGCGCGCCCCGAACCGACAAACACGGAGCAGCCACGAGCAGGGGGTCCGGTGCATTGCGGGTAGGGGCAGGGGGGCCTCGAGGGCAGGTGGGAGGTGGAGGGGTAGGGGGCTAATGCCCTTAGTCCCCAAACAGGAACCGTTTAGGGGTCTTTTCTCAGAGAAAAAGGTGTCACGTGCTTGGCTAGATTGGTGTCACGCAGTTGGGCCCGTGGTCTCCCATGGACTCCGATCCCCATGGTCTACGTGGTTGGGAGGGTGTCACGCGGTTTGGGTCCGTGGTCTCCCATGGCCCAACTAAGCCCGGATCCCCGGCCAACTTGCTTGGGTGCTATTTGAGTACGCTCGGCCGCCCAGGATGGATGCTGGTTGAGCACGGTAGGCCCCAAAAGTGCTATTTGAGGACTCTCAGTCCCGCAAATCACGATGCTGGCGGTCCCCAAAATTTGGGTCTGTTGGAATACGCTCGGTCCCCAAGAAGCAGGATGCTAGTTGAGCATGCTCAGTCTTTTCGTGCACAGAAGAACCGGCCAAGATGCCTCGGTGAAAAACTTGAAACCTCGCACACTGGGCCTTTCAAGCATGTTCTGGTTCTCGGGCTTTCAGGCCGCCCTAACCCTACGAGCACGAAGGGCGGGGACATGCGACTAACTTCTAGGGCCCTTTGTGACAAACTTTAGGGGATATGTCTTTACTTCGAGTGGTCTGAAAGTGAAAACGTTAGGAAACACGTAGGATGTTTTTGCGCTTCTATAGAACTTTTCGCGGAGCAAGGCAGGCTTTGAGCCAACTTTTCTGCTCTGCGAAAAGGTTTCGCAGCCCCCAAACAAGGTGTTTAAGTAAGCAGAGATGTTTCTCCCTTGTATTCTGGGTGGCCGAATCATGGCAAAAACATCCCATGTTTTTCTAACGTTTGCACTTTCAGAACGCTGCAGAAGCAAAACCGGTTTGAACAAATCCCGTCGAGGTTTGTCGTATGTCCCCTCCCTTCGTGCCAGGGTTTGGTGAGTGCCCCAGAAGTTTGTCGCATGTCCCTTCGTGCTCGTAGGGTGAGGGCCCTAAAGGTTAATGTAACCGTTTGCAAGTGCAGGCGGGTTCTGAGGCCATGATTACGGTACCAGGACAGTCTTTCGGAACCGTTTTAAAATGCAAGCGGTCTAAAGGGCTACGATTGCTTGTGGGCGCAGAATGCTAGCCCTGAAAACGAGTTTCTTAGCGTGTTGAAACACCATAGATGTTTCCCCTGCGACCAAATAGCTCGCGCCATGGCGCGAGCTATTTGAGCGCGAAGGGAGGCGACGTGCGACAAACTTCTAAGGGTTATGTTTTTACCTCTACAGTGTTGCGAAAGTGAAAACGTTAGGAAGACATGGGATGTTGTTGTCCTTTCTATAGAACCTTTTCGCATAGCCCTCAGGGTTTTTACCCAACTCTTCTTGCTCTGCGAAAAGGTGTCACAGCCCCTAAACAAAGGTGGTTAAAGTAAACAGAGATGTTTATCCCTTGTTCTGGTAACGTAATCGTGGCTCCATAGGGTGTGCTAGCGCAAAAACGTCCTGTGTTTTTTCCTAACGGTTGTTGCACTTTCAGAACACTGACGAAGTGAAGAACATATCCCTTGTCCAGCAAGTGTGGAAGGTTTTGTCTCAGTCTCGTGGCCCTGCCGATGCGGCTGCTTCTCAGACCTTTGTCTTCGCGCCGCCCTCAGAAGTAGGAAGGCATCGATATTAAGTTTCAGGACGTTCAGTGGGGGATCTATCCCTCAGAGGTTTGTCGCATGTCCCCTCCTTCGTTCTAGGGTGTGGTGAGCGATTTAAAGTAAAAGTTTGTCACATGTCGCTTCGTGCTCGTAGGGTGAGAGACCAGTGAGGGCCAAAGAAGGCATGCGGGTTATGGGGCCCAGGCTTTTGGAACCGTTATGAAATGCAGGCGGGCTATGGGGCCACGAGTACGCAACCAGCACAGGCTTCTGGGCGCAGAACGCTAGCCTTGTTCCATAAAGTGTTTCCCCTGCGACCAGATAGCTCACGCCATGGCGTGGGCTATTTGGGGGTTTGTTGTAGCGAAAGCTATCCCGCGCATGTCCGAGAACTGCGCCCGTGAACCCTATAAACCCTACAACCCTCAACCCTTAACCCATGAACCTCCGAGCAGAGCTTCAACCTCTCACCACCGAGCTCATGCCTCGGGGTAGTGTCACAGTCCCATTGTCCTTGCCCTTAAAGGAGTACCCCTTATACACCGCTTGGATACCGTGCACAAACTAAGGGCCCATACATCAGAGCCCTGGAAAGGAAGGTAAGGGACCATATGAAGGGCCCATTTAGTTTCCCTAAGATCATATGGTCAATTCTCTCAATCAGGGTCCCTCTCTGGGTACCCTAAATAATTGGGGGCGCCTGATAACAAGGACCCCCCCCCCCCCCCAAAAAAAAGGGACCTCACAAACCCTTCGAACGCAAAGGGAGGCACATACGACAAACCTCTAAGGGATGTGTGTTTACTTCTACAGTGTTCTAAATCCCAAAGCTTGGGTGCTGTTTGAGCACGCTCGGCCCCAAAATGCAGGATGCTAGTTGAACACGCTCAGTCCCCAAAACTTCGGGGTTCTGTCTGAATACCATCGGTCCCGCAAAGCAGGATGCTAGTTGAACACGCTCGGTCCCAGTCCCCAAAACTTGGGCGCTGTTTGAATAGGCTCGGTCACCGAAAAGCAGGATGCTAGTTGGGTCCCCAAAATTTGGGTGCTATTTGAGTACGCTCGGTCCCGCAAAGCAGGATGCTAGTTGAACACTCTCGGTCCCTATTTGAGTATGCTCGGTCTGTGGAAGTCGAAACATATCCCTTCGAGGTTTGTCGTAGGGTTTGGTGAGGGCACTCGACGTTTGTCGTATGTCCTCACCCTTCGCACTCGTAGGGTGACGTCGTAAGCAACTAGCACCATTTCTGCGCCCTGATGGCCAAACAGCTCGCGCCATGGCACGAGATATTTGGTCACCGGGGAAACATCTATGGTGTTTCAACATGTTAAAACACATTTTCAGGCTAGGGGCTCTGCGCCCACAAGCCTGTGCTGTAGCGTAATCGTGGCCCTATAGCCCGCCTGCATTTTGAAACGGTGAAAAAAGCCCGTGCTGGTAACGTAATCGTGGCCCATAACTGCCTGCACTTTCAAACGGTTATATTGACCTCCAGGGCCCTCACCCTCCAAGTGCGAAGCGACAAACTTCTTGGGCCCTAACTTGTGGTTCTGTTGCAACATTTTGACAAGTAAATTCCCTGCAAGGAGTTCATGGGCTCTGTGGCTCTGTTGCAACATCTTGACAAGCAAATTGCCTTCAAGGTGCCCGTGGGCTCTGTGGTTCTGTTGCAACATCTGGACAAGGAAATTCGCTTCAAGGTGTCCACGGGAATTTGCTTGTCAAGATGTTGCAACAGAACCACAGAGCCCACGGACACGTTGAAGGGAATTTCTTTGTCAAGATGTTACAACAGAACCACAAAGCCCACGGACACCATGAAGGAAATTTCGTTGTCAAGATGCTGCAACAGAACCACAGAGCCCACGGACACCTTGAAGGGAATGTCCATGTCAAGATGTTGCAACCGAGCCACAGAGCCCACGGAAACCTCAAAGAGAATTTCTTTAACAAGATGTTGCAACAGTACTAGAAAGCCCACGGACACCTTGAAGCGAATTTCCTTATCAAGATGTGGCAACAGCCACAGAACCCACAAATATTTTGAAGGGAATCCTTGTCAAGATACTATAACAGAACGATAGGGGCCACGGAAACCTTGAAGGGAGTTTCTTTGTCAAGATGTTACGCAGAACTAAAGAGCCCACGGACACCTTGAAGGGAATTTCCTTGTCAAGATGTTGCAACAGAACCAGAGGGCCCACGGACACCTTGAAGGGAATCACTTTGTAAAGATGTTGCAACAGAACCACAGAGCCCACGGACACCGTGAACGGAATCTCCTTGTCAAGATGATGTAATAGAACTACAAAGCCCACAGACACCTTGAAGGGAATTTTCTTGTCAAGATATTGCAACAGAACCACAGAGCCCGCGAACATTTTGAAGAGAATTTCCTTGTCAAGATATTGTAACAGAACCACAGAGCCCATGGACACGTTGAAAGGAATTTCTTTGTCAAGATGTTGCAAGAGAACCACAGAGCCCAGGGAGGCCATGAAGGAAAAATCCTTGTCAAGATGCTGCAATAGAACCATAGAGCCCAAGGACACTTGAAGGGAATGTCTACATCAAGATCTTGCAACCGAACCGCAGCGCCCATGGACACCTTAAAGGAAATTTCCTTGTCAAGACGGACACCTTGAACGGAATTTCCTTGTCCAGATTTTGCAACAGAACCACAGAACCCACGGATACCTTGAAGGGAATTTCCTTGTCAGGATGATGTTGCAATAGAACCACAGAGCCCACGGACACATTGAAGGGAAGCTTCTTGTGAAGATGTTGCAACAAAACCACGGAGCCCACGGACACCTTGAAGGGAATTTCCTTGTCAAGATGTTGCAACAACAACAGAGCCCACGGACAACTTGAAGGTAATTTCCTTGTCAAGATGATCCATAGAACCACAGAGCCCGCGGACACCTAGAAGGGAGCTTTCTCGTCAAGATGTTGCAGCAGAACCACAGAACCTACGGACACCTTACCTTGAAGGGCATTTGCTTGTCAAGATGTTACAATAGAACCATAGGGCCCAACGATGAAGGGAATCTCCTTGTCAAGATGTTGCAACAGAACCAAAGGGCCTTGAAGGGAATTTCCTTGTCAAGATGTTGCAACAGAACCACAGAGCCCACGGACACCTTAAAGGGAATTTCCTTGTCAAGATGTTGCCACAGAACCAAAGAGCCTACGGACACCTTGAAGGGCATTTCCTTGTCAAGATGTTGCAGCAGAACCACAGAGCCCACAAACACCTTGCAGGGAATTTGCTTGTCAAAATGTTGCAGCAGAACCACAGAGCCCACGGACACATTGAAGGGAATTTCCTTGTCAAGATGTGCAACAGAACCACAGAGCCCACGGACACTTTGAAGGGAATTTCCTTGTCAAGACGTGCAACAGAACGGGAGGGTGTCACGTGGTTTGGGTCCGTGGTCTCCCATGGCCCAACTGAGCCCGGATCCCCGGCCAACTTGCTTGGGTGCTATTTGAGTACGCTCGGCCGCCCAGGATGGATGCTGGTTGAGCACGGTAGGCCCCAAAAGTGCTATTTGAGGACTCTCAGTCCCCCAAATCACGATGCTGGCGGTCCCCAAAATTTGGGTCTGTTGGAATAAGCTCGGTCCCCAAGAAACCAAGATGCCTCGGTGAAAAACTTGAAACCTTGCACACGGGGCCTTTCAAGCATGTTCTGGTTGTCGGGCTTTCAGGCCGCCTAGCCTCCAGTGGCCCTGACCCTACGAGCACGAAGGGCGGGGACATGCGACTAACTTCTAGGGTCCTTTGTGAAAACTTTTATGGGAAATGTCTTTACTTCGAGTGGTCTGAAAGTGAAACGTTAGGAAACACACAGGATGGCTTTGCGCGTCAATAGAACATTTCGCAGAGCAAGGCAGGCTTTGAGCCAACTTTTTCTTGCTCTGCGAAAAAGTTTCGCAGCCCCCAAACAAGGTGTTTAAGTATGCAGAGATGTTTCTCCCTTGTATTCTGGGTGGCCTAATCATGGCAAAAACATCCCATGTTTTTTCAACGTTTGCACTTTCAGAACGCTGCAGAAGCAAAACCGGTCTGAACAAATCCCTTCAAGGTTTGTCGTATGTCCCCTCCCTTCGTGCCAAGGCTTGGTGAGGACCCCAGAAGTTTGTCGCATGTCCCTTCGTGCTCGTAGGGGGTGAGGGCCCTAAAGGTTAATGTAACCGTTTGCAAGTGCAGGCGGGTTCTGAGGCCATGATTACGGTACAAGGACAGTCTTTCGGAACCGTTTTCAAATGCAAAGCACCTGTTGTTGCAACTTGGGTGACGGATTGTGACGACCTCTGAACTCCTTCTTTTGGCCTTCTCTGATGCGCAGGCTTGTGGCAGGTACCCGGCTGTACAGGGTCCTGTGCCTGTAAAGGAAACACACACGCCGAGCTACGAAACTCACTTCTCATGATTTCCCTACACCTCAGGAGCGATAGATGCGCACGGTCGAGGAGGCTTCATTCCGGCACATTGGACACAGCGTGGTCCTCGGCATTTCACCGCTCAACTTCATGGACCATCTCTCACCGTCACTCCAGAGCGGGTAGTAGTCCTGATCGGAAAAGCCTAAACTTTAAACACTGAACTAAACCCGAAGCCGCTAGAAAACACAGCAGAATGTTTCCTCAGGTCCCGTGCTTTCCGATGTCTGACAAGTTGTTCCATTCACTGTACATAGAGCCACGCTCTAAGACCTTTAAGAGGAAGAAGGATCAACACATCGTACATCGACGCTGAGTACTTAAACCAATGGAATGAGGCAGGGGGGGCAGGGGGGGCAGGGGGGGCAGACCTGAAAAGACCTTGAAGGCCAGGCCACTGGCCCCTCATGGCATCGGCGCATCTCTGGCACAGACAAAGGTGACCGCCTTGAGGCTTCGACAGAGAACTCACTACGGAGCCTTAACAGAGCGCGGAAGAGCAGAGCCGAGCAGAGCCGAGCAGAGCCGAGCAGAACCGAGAGCACGCACAAAAAAGAGAGATCCCCAATTCAAAGCACTTGGGCGCGTCGCATGGCACCACTGCCGTGTCCGCAGGCCTCTCCAAGCAGACCTCAAGGCAAGCTCAAGCTCCCCTCCCCAAATGCTCCAGGCATCCAGTTGAGGCACCTCCCCAGCATTCCGAAGCATTCCCGAGATTGCACTTGCAGCACTAGCAGTAGTATGCTTCTATGCCGCCGGGTGACAACACAGGCACCATCCTCCTGCACTGGACCGGGATCGACGGCGGGGTCCTTCTTCGAAATATGGTTTGCACACGTGCCGACAACCCTCCGAGCTTCACTTAACATCTTTTAGGCCCCTAGGCCTCGCCCTGCGCGGAGTGCACGGCCTGCGCTGCCGCTTGCGGCCCTTCGGTCAGCAACGTCAGGTCTTCTGCGGGCGGCGCAGACGGAGGCGGCAGGTCCGGGAAAGCCTCTCGCATCGCACATGGCTACAGTCAGCTGCAGCATGTGGCAGATTGTGGCAGCATGTTCAGAGTTAACAGTATCTGTATTTCACATGCGGCACTTGCTGACGATTTGCGAAACGATGCCGCGCGGCTGGATGCTGCGACGCAACGGTTGCAACGCCCCTGAACTTCCAGCAAAACGCCAGTACTTGCGGACTTCCGCAAGGACAGCCGCCGCACGACTTCAAGAGGTTACCACACCACTCTAAACTTCTGCTATGCGTTCGGAAACACGCACAAGAAAAACCCGTCTGAAAGACCCTAGCACTCTCACTACAGTAACCCATTCTGACTTGCCACCTTGGTATCTATCAAATTGTCGGGATGACGATTTGACGGGTGGAAAGGAGCAAGAAAGCCGTCCTGCAGCACCAGTTAACAACCCTATAGTTCATGGGATTTCGAAGCGCTTAAGAAGGTTGCCTGGGTCGCTGATTCTTGTCCAGGAAGTTCAGTTCAATGTCACGGGCCGGACGAGCGCGGAGAGCAGGAAGAAACACACCGGCGGAGAGCAAAACACGAGAAATGGATGAGCAAATGAACACTGTGGAGCTCAAGATTGAGAATCCGTGAGAAAGATGACGTCAAGCGGCACCTCGTGTGGCAATGGCGCGGTCTCGTGGCGGTACAAATGCTGCACGGAGAGAGCAGGGCATGGAAGTCAATACGGAGGCTTCTGTAAGGAAGCTTCAAGACTCTGAGAGAACTTGGATCTACGCGGTGGGGCGTCCTTACTGCGTTTGATATCAGCCTGGTGTCCTAGTCTTTTCATCTTTTGTTCGTGGTATCACATGACTTCGCACGTTGCCTTCCAGATGCCACACGCTAAATCTGGAACGACGGGGTGGAGAACTTAAGGAACTCAAGAAGAATCTGCTCAACGAGAAGATTTTTCGGAAGTACTTGGCGGAGTCGCTCCACAGAAGGACACGAGTTTTAAGGGCGACACTCACATCACTCAACTGGCTGTGGATAGACTCTGAAGACTCTGATGGACTTGATGGGGCGGCTACACGCTGGGGCCTCTTCAGCCAGAGCCGCGGTGTTTCCCGCCAAGAGAGCGTCGTAGGCTTCTTTCAACACCAATGCCCTGGCAACAAGTGCAGAGTAAGTGGAGAGTCACGGACTATCACACTTCGCCGACGTCAAAGTGGCAAAAGCCGGAGCTGGCGTGCTGCGAAGATCTGCGACTTCGAAGAGCCTGGAACTTAGAAGTGGGTTCAGCAAGACCCGCTTCACCAGCGTGCTCTCTTCCGCCGTGGAGAACCTGTGTGACAGGTGTGCCAGGTATGCGATGTGAGAACCACAGGCATATCCGGTATGACCACAAATCCTACGGCATCTTTTTTCCAGTGATAGACAGCGATAGAACTCCGAGGGGCCGCACTGCCAAGCCGACTTCGCGGTCTCGGTCCTGCAGAGAGGGAAAAAACAACGTGTAGCCCTTCAGACCTGCCGCTGCGCCGCTGGGCCTACGACATGCTGTACAGACGCCACGTTGAGAGACGGAGAGCGTTCGACACCAAAAGCATGGTGTTTAAGACGAAGTCGCGCGACGACACCAGGAGTCCAAGAATCTGAGAGGCCGATTTTGGACAGACAAGAGATAAAAGTGGGATTTCTCCGTGACCGGCGCGGGAGGTTTCCTGAATTCCTGAATCTTTGACCCTCCCTTGACAACCCGACCGCGGGCGAGAAAGAACAAACAGCACGCCACGTGTGCACGCGCAGCTGAAGGACGTCCAGGGTCTTTTATAAAACGTTGAAAAAAAAACTCCTGATTTGGCAGCCTCTGAATGAAGAAGCACCTCCGAGATCCTCTGAGCCTCAGGTGAAGACCCTCTGATGGCCCCACGCGCCTGCACTGACACGGAGAGGCCGAAGGGGCGAGACGAGGCGAGGCCCAGACCTCTCAAGGAACAAAAAATAGACCCTAAATGAAAACGAGAGAGACTTGAGAGAGAGAGAGAGACAGAGAGAGAGGGAGAGAGAGAAAGAGAAAGAGAAACAGAGAGAGAAAGAGAGAGACTCTTGCGTTGGAGAAGGAGGCAAACACCAAGGCAGGGCCTCCGAGCGCGCCCTGCAGCCAGCCGCCTAGGGAGTCTTCCATCTTCCACTCAAGAGAATCTTCATTTCATATGATTCATCTGTGTTTCCTACACGAATAACGAACTGAATAGGGCTGCATACAGAGGCACGAGAAATGAAAATGGCTGCTTTCTTTTGAAAGACAAATTAAGAAGACGGGGGTTTGAGATTCGCGAAGGCG